CAACTGATATTAAGAACAAGTTAAATTTATTTTGTAAACGACACAACTTTGTTTATAAAAAACCTTTCTGAAGACAGGATAAACATAGAACAAATTTAGGAGTTGAGACGCATAATATCTATGATAAAAGAGGAGGGAAAATTGCACTATTTGAAGATTTATTACAGAAGGCAAGGAATTCATAAGCTTCCTCCATTGATCATCATACATATGCGTACAAGTTGAAACTAAAAAGACAAGGGAAAGAAACATTCTCTGATTCTAAAATTACTAATGCATATCATCACCTAGTTTTAGGTAAACTATGTCTTTTTATTTCATGCTGCTATGAGCTTCCAGAAGGAATACAAAAGGACGTTCATAAGTTGATTGTTACGATGCTTCTGTGGAACTTTAGAAATTTCATCCCGCACAAAACCATAATCAAGAAGAAAAGTAAGCATACCAATGATATTGTGGCGTGTTTAGCAAGAGGATTATATAATACTCAGGACAAGGTTTGGTGGTGACTAATGAAGCTATCTTCTCGGGAATGATTCCATCGTGTACTTTACATTTATGTATAGTGAGTGGTAAATGTACAAGCTGATCGAATGTGTGTTGAACATATGTCTTATCACTCTTCCAAGCATGAGAGATGTAGACGTAGTGCCCTTGTGCCGACCATGATAGTGATGAATCATGATGTGTAAGTTCTTGGACATGCAACCAAAATAGAATGAAAGCAATACAAAACAAGAAAGCGAAGCACAAAATAGGAGGTGGCTCATGATGACTATTTACTTTTCACTAAAAGGAATGCCATGGTCATTATGTGACGAGTTTTTTTAGTGTATTAAGTTTTGATCCATCATAGAAAATCTAATTTGGTATGTGGAAAGTCTTGTGGGATGTATTAACCTCTGTTCCTCATCTCACCGGGGACCCTTATCTTCCACAAGAATCATAATGCCTTTTTGCCACTTCTGGAGTTTTCCCTCCAACTGCCCTTGCAACTTTGGCTCAACGTTCAGGCGGGTCAGTGTCATACACGGCTAGAGGATTCTCAAAGGCCTTGTTCTCCTGAGCATTCCAAGTTCCACGGGATGATATCGAGCTAGATGCCGTTAATTTCTTGCTAGTTACAAATGAAGTTAGGGAACAGAAGTTATACACCAAGGGAATTAAACAACCGAATATTACTATAGAAAATGTGAGGACATGGAAGAATGTATATATGTGAGGAACAAGTAATTCTAAGTGGGATTATTTGTCTTTGACAGAGAGAAGACTGAATTCAAGGCTGATGAGAAACTGATCGGGAGCTGATATGTCCAAAAGAGGTGGCGAGTTGATATGTCCAGAACAGGTGGCAACTGAGTGATCTCTATAAGCTCCAGGAACTGAGGGTGGAGTGGTGTGGGATCAAGCGAATTGGTCTATTATAAAGTTGCAAAACTTGAAGAACTTTTGTGATTTGTCTCGTTAAGAACCAAAACTAAAGCAGGTCAAGGAACAACAGTACAACGTCGAAAAATCTTCATCTTCATGAAAAGGTTGATTCAATTTGCATTTTTTTTTGAATAAAATTCACTTGTTTTCTTTCAGTTTAGTTTCATAATCATATGATTCTTCTTGATTTATATAAACATTAAAAAGCAACAATTGTGCTTAAAAGTCACTTTTAAGCTACTTTCTCCAACATATAACTCGTGAATAAAAATGAGAAAATTAATCACATATATATGGGGCATCAGAATTATAAGTAGATACTACGATCAATACAATATCAATCATCTTTTAATTTCTGGACGACCTTAAAAATCCTTCATTAGAATATAATTTCAACTAGTTGGGGGGGGGGGGGGGGGGGGATGAACTCCTCAGATAGAGCAATACTATAGTTCAATGCACAATAATCACAAGCCAAGTTGATAGGACAATGCACAATCTAGACAGAGGGTCAAGATAAGTCACGGAAAAAGTGGAAAACCGGGCTTACAAGGCCAGTTCAAATCCCAGGCCATGAATGGGTCATCTAGGTCTTGACAAGCAGATGTGCCAAGTCATTTTACATGCCTAATCACGAGTGAAATAATCATGACATGATAGTATTTAGTTACAAATATCGTAAAAATATTGCTATCTTCAGATTATTCAAAGAAGCTCTAAGCTTGGACCCAATTCATGAGAAGGACCACCCTACATATATACAGATGCAAGATTTTTTCAATGATAAGGATTCCATTAATCTAGCAAGAACAAGGCATGTATAAATTCTCAATGCTTCTTTTTTCCATGTACTGATTCCTCTACATGCTAGGCTTATTATCAGCTATACCCTTGTAAATTGTAATGAATAATTCTCAATGAGCCTATATCTTGGGAAGTAGTTTTATTGATTCCAGAAATGATCCATACATGTAAACCAATGAAGGTAATTTGTATTAAGTGTTGGGAATCTTGACTTATTTGCACAGTCATTATCAAGGTTCACTTTGAGAAATATCGAAGTAGGCCCAGATTCTCAACATTCAATGTTCACAACCTATTTCGATTTTTTCATATTTTCTATAAATCAAGCATGAAAAGAGTAGCGAGTTTTATTGTGAAAATCTTCATATCTAAGTAGTAATAACAATGTTTTGAGTTCAAATATAAGTCTTTTCCTCGATGTAACTTTTGTGTGCAATACTGAAGGATACTACAAAAGATTTTAATTTTTTTCCTAAATCATATCAAATCAAACAGACCAACATAACAAACACACCATTAAAGTGTTTAATCTTAGTTATTCATTGAGGAGGCTTCTTGATGAAAAATTATCATTTTTGGAGGTAGTTTTGGGATTCTAGAAAAGATCAATAGATGTAAATCAGCTTGTGTAATGGTGGAAATCACTCACGTCTAGTATTCTCTTTTAGAAAAATGAAGAAGAACTGAGAATGGAGAAACTGAAAGGGTTCATGAATCATGATCCCTTTCATGATCCCTTTCGGTGTCATCACTGCATGCATCAAGCACGAAAAAGAGTACTGCAACTTCATCTCTAACAGTTATTTAATAGCAATGTTTTGAGTCAAAATATGTCTTTTCCTAATTGTTTGTAATATTCTGAGTGGGAAATATACAGATCTTCATGTTATCTTGCAAGATTTTCGACCGACATTGGGTCAGGACCATATATAAGGTTGGGGCTACTCTATTCCACTTGCTGCAATAATCTCATTTGGCATTTTCAACTTCAGCCTTTGAACAATGTTGCTTCCTAAACTTAGCTTTTTACTATGCAGATATTGAAGTTGGACCAATAAAATGTGCTCTCTTTTGGACATTCAAATATTCTTGGAGGGATTAAGCCTTAATCCTGATTATGGGATCAATGTTAGGCAAAACAAAATCAGAAAATAAACACACACAAGAATCTATAAACTAATAGTAGTTCATCCTCAATCTTAGAGCTATTCCACTCAATATTGTACTTTTTAAATATAAAGAAGATCTCAGTCTTTGTTAGAGGGGAAAAAATTAAAAAATAAATAAATAAAAAAGCTCCCCCTAAATCTTGAATTAACTTAACCATGTCATGTTACCGTAAAGGTTCTACTTCTAGAGAAGGACAATGAAAAAGCTAGTGCCCTCTATATAGCACTACACGCTTCCTCTCCCAAATCGTTTATAGTATAGAAGCACTGGGGCAAACACACACATGAATAAAATATTCAATCTATTGATAACCTAAAATGCACCTAAACTCATACAATCCCGATGTTTAGTCGAAAGAATAAGTTTATAGTCTGATTAGACTCCATGATGTCCAACACCAATGTATCATAGACATGAGCAACCTCGTGCCTCCAAAAAAAATAAGATCCTTTTTTCTGAAGGTAGGCCAAAATATTTTATAATATAATTTTGGATGAAGTCATTGAGAAGCCAGTAAAATAAATGATCGGCGCAACCTTAGAAATCACGAATCATACATGCAATTATTAGAATGAAACTTTGAATGTTTTTATTTATTATTAAAAATTATTTTTCTTCATTGCAAGTAATTTTTTTTCAACTAATTATAGAATACCCATATAAAATTTGGCTTAAAACTCCAAAAATCTCAGGATCGACGACCCTGATCATAGATAATAATATTGTATATATTATTTATATTTTTCTTTTTATTTATCGAAACACTATATCTTTCATGATCTCTACAGAAGATTATATGCCAAGCATCAAATGTAGGAAAAAATTAATCAACCAAACTAGACAAATGTAATTTCATACTGGATCCCAGCCCACAAATTTAAAAAAAAAAAATAATTATAATAAGATTCTACAATTGCATTTCAGTTGCCCATGACCGATTCTTTAAAATTGTTTTAGCAAGATTCAGGGTTGATCATTTGAAGACAGCAATTTAAACAGAATTTGATAGGGTAAATACAATTCTTGATAGGAATAGAATAGATATTTTCTATACTAGGAAGGTAATAGGCTTGATATTAGGGACTTATGGGTGTCAAATGGCTCGGCCGTGTTTGGGAGAGGTCCGATGGTCATACAAGGTCCGGGGACTGAGGCAGGCCAGGCTAAGTCCAGTCTGCCAGATATTTTCTTTGCTCTGGACCCATTGTCCATGCCCGTTCCATCTTAAGAAGGTCTCTCTTCTTGATTACCTTTACATGTTGCAATTATACGAGGATAAACCAACCATGTGAACAACTATGGATAAGCTGACTTTACATTCAAAACAAGGCAATCCACAACTTAAAATATGATTGATTTTGTGTTAATGATCATAGAATATACTTGTCATCTTACTGGTGTACATAAACGCAGTCAAGAAAAGGCAAAAATGTCACTTTTAGGTATGCCTAACATCTTCTAATGTTTATATGAATGAAAAAACATCATATGATTTTGACACTAAACTGTAAGAGAAAGTAAAATTTATGCAAAAAATGGAAATATAAACAACCTTATCATGAAGATGGAGATTCTTCAAAGTTGTAATAATCCCATTTTCTAGAGTAAGCATTCAACAGTAGTGCTCCATCCAGTTACTCTATAACTTCCTAGACTTAATCTGTACAAGAAGTTAATGGCGTCTAGCTCGATGTCTTCCCGTGCCTCAGGCACTTGGACTGTCCAGGAGAACAAGGAGTTCGAGAAAGCTCTGGCCGTTTATGATACTGACACACCCGACCGTTGGGCCAAAGTTGCAAGGGCTGTCGGAGGGAAAACCCCAGAAGAGGTGAAGAGGCGTTATGAAATTCTTGTGGAAGATGTCACATACATTGAGAGTGGCCAAGTGCCCTTCCCCTACCGCAGAACCTCTCTGGCCGCCTGTAACAGGGGAGGTATACAGCATACACCACCCCAACCCACCCCTTCGAAACACCACAAACACTTCAAAATCCATCATACAATCGTCAGTCATCATGGATTTGTTTCTATTTTAAGGCATTTTCTTCGATGATCAGTTTGGCTAAGTACCACCAATCCTCTTACTTTTCCTAATGCATGTTGGATGACATAAACCTGCATCACTATCATGGTCGGTGTATGAGAACATGCATCTACATCTCACCGAGCATGGGCGAATCGTAGGACACACGTTTAACACACTCTCAACTTGTATATTTTTCCACTCATTAGAAAATATAAGGTGTATGAGGAGAAAATAGCTTACTAATCCTTACAAAACTTTCCTACCGTATGCTCTATTTCTCAAAATAAAAATCAATTTGTATGTGCATCTTTCGTACATAGTGTTAGATGATATTGAAGACTAAAATGAATAAGTTTTAGCTTTTATTTTTCTTCTCTAACTCTTCTTTATTATTGTTCCATGCAGGATGAAGAATCTAACGTTCCACTGATGTGTCATTACACTTGTAATGATCAACTTTACTACTGTTGTCGTATTATATTCTGGAAGCTCTTAGCTAGCAACATGAATAAAAATGCAATGTTTACCCAAAACTAGGTGAAAATATGTAGTAGAAATTTTCAAATCATAGCAAATCTTGTCTCTACTTTTAAGCATTTGTATGACGATCATAATGATCAATGGAGGAAGCCAATAAGTTCCTTTCCTTCTGTAATAAATATTTTAATTAAATTAAGGTATTGTAAGAATTTTAATTTCTAAACATTTTCTTATATTTTCAAATTTGAGTCAGGTCCGACTATTTCCACCGTTACTCAAATTTTCTTAATCACAACAAACATTCACACATATACTAGTAGAAGTCATTATTTCTAGATCAACTTTCATAGTTTATTGTCGAAGATAGGAGCTATATTCATACATTCATTGAACATGAATCTTCTAGATATTTGGCATCTTTCAATTTTGATCTTCAGTCTTCTTGTTACTAGCCAATAAATCTCTCGTCACTTCTTATTCTCTCGCATTAGTAGGAGGGTTTTCAAATGCATAATTAAGTCTATTTATAAAAACAACAATTTTACGCAGAAATATGTAAATTTGACTTCAATTATGGAAATTTATAATAAATTTTATCTTATATATACACACACACACACACACTCAATTTCTTTCCATATCAATCCTTTGAAAATGCATTAGATTTCACATCTTTAGTACATCTGGAAACTGACAAATTCAACTACGATTATGCAACAATAATGGAAAATGCAATTAATTTGTACTGAAGTGGTCTAAATTTAGAACTTAACATCAATAAAAAATTTCATCTATTTAATATTTTTAGAATAACAGACACGATAGTCAAAACAAAATCACGGGAAGAATAAAAACAAACCACTGTAATTAATCCAAAAACAACCACAGATGTAAGTAAAAGGTTACGATTTATGAAAGAGAGTTAATTCCTAAAGCTGGGTCCAGCGGCATCGTCCCTAGGAGGACTGGAGCTAGTCCCACCCATTTGTAATGTTGTAGCCCGGTTCTTTTCCAGTTCCTCCATTCGGGCCATGATGTCCTGCATATTTTGCTCAGCCAAACGTCCCATTTCAGTTATGTCATTTAGAGGGGCATTTTGCAGACTCGACAAACCAGCCATGCACTGGTGCATCTGAATCTCCATGTCTGTTAATCTGTTAATCCTTTGAAACTTTTCAGCTTGTTTATGAGACTTCTGAACCCTTTGAATCATATAGGATTCCTGATTGAACAGTCGCTGGGTCTGTTCCATTTCCGGAAGTTCCCGAAATCTGGAAATAATTTGCTGAGCATCAAGTGGAGATGGCCAAACTGTTGGCTGAGGTTCATGGGCACCATATATTATAATGCAACCCTGTATATCACACAGAGTGCAAAGTTCATTCATCTTGTTCATTATCCCCTTCTTTCTCTTTTTAAATGATGCTCTTCTCTCTGCGTCGTTGGCTATATACTCGAGCTTTATTTTTCCTCTAGTCATGTTTAGGGATGATTTTTGGAGGGTGAAATGTTGTTGTTCATGTTATTTTTATTTCCAGAAGATGGTATTTATAGATAAAAGATTGGATTACTGATTGAATAGCAATTGTTTATTTTCCTTTTTTAAATTCTAGTATTTAATTTTCATACAACAGGAAATAAAATCATATGGACAAACATTTTCTTGGCTTTCTTGGGAAGAGGCAACTGTCTTGTACAAGTGAAATTAAAAATTAGTCAATATGAAATTATGAATATTCCAATTTAGCAACGAAAAATAAGGGAAAATATTCATTAATATTGAGTGCATAGAGAATGCTAAAATAGAAAGTAAAAAAAATTATAATTTTTGTAGGCATTACTGTGTATTCAAAATAATTTAAAATTAGGAAAACACTTGCACAAGAAAATTAGAAGAGTAACATTAAAGGTGTCATTGGTATTAAGTTAATGCACCAACATCAATATTACATATACCCTTCAATCGTTTACAATTTAATGAAATATAAATAAATAAATAATAAATAATTTCATCACCTTCAAACATTTTTCGTTAACCGTGCATTAGATGTGCATTTGATTAATATGCTTTGAAATGAGCAATATTAATTTAATCAACTGGGTTAATCGTTGTAGAGGTGATCAATATCAAGCAACAAAAAATTAATGCAATTGTTTGTGCATCATTTATGTTGTGCTCGAGACTTTAATAGTAGATATGAGGTATAGTATAAACTCATGAGATATTATGTCAAAAATAAATAAAAATGAAAGGTTATGAAATACCTTGGTATTATATTCGTGATCACCCGCTACATAAAGAGAGTTGTATAAAGACTTGAAAATTTAAGGATGCCTTATTGGTAACATATCCATGATCATCCACATCTTAGGCTCTTGTGATAATCTAAGGGTATTATTATTATTTTTTATTTTTTTGGTGACGGGGTTCCCCCCAACCGCTACACCGCAACAGGCAAGCCTGATACGACAGACTTGACCGAGAAAGTATTGGTAAAGAAAATTGAACTCGTAACCAAAGGCATATGCGCTCACCTACTCCACCAACTCGGCCACCCCATGAGGGGTGATAATCTAAGGTTATTTAGAAGAACTATTGGTTACAAACCCTGAAATGCACATGATTTAATGAGAGTTTTTGGTGATTTGAAATTGGGATCGGTAAAACAATCACGTAAGCCCTTGATAAAGTGACATGTAAGAAAACACAATAAAGCATGTGATCAACAAATCATCCATTCCTATCTATGAATACTGATTGGATCGAAAAATTGAAACTATCATAGAAATGTCGATGATTCCGTAGAACAATGAACGTTCGACAGCATATATGAAAATCTCATATTTTCATTCAAGATAGGAAATGGTAAAGCTGTATTGCACGTTTATATAGCAAGCCTACGAAGTAAAATTAAAAATTTCAAAAGACGTAATTGTCATTATATAACTAAAGTAATTGCAAATAAATAAAACTTAAGAAATTACCAAAAACTGATAAATATATGACAAAAATTTAAATAATTAAAATCGAAAAGAAAAAAAATGAAATCTCGCAAAAATCCTAATTGCCCATTCGTAATTAAAATTGTTGGATATAAAGTAAAATAATAATAATAATAATAAGAAAACAACGGAGCTGTTATAACTTTTGGCGACCCTATTGAATTTTATTTTTTTAAGGTAGTCCCTCTCATTTTTAAGAATTTGATCCATATCTATTCTTATGTTGATGCTCATTCTCCATCTAGCTCTAGATTGAGAAAACGTGACTTTCAGCCATTCAACACCTACATTCCTCCTGCATTATACCTTTTTCTAAGTGATATATATTAAATTGTCGATCATATGCACAATTAATCACACATGTCAAACCACTACAATAAATTTTTATTTCCAGACGAGATATTCTGCAACATAAAATAGTTATCGCAATGAGTAATTTAGCACGACATGATTTTAAAGTTTATCACAAATACTAGACAAAAAAGTACCAAAAAAATATAAGCCTGCATAAAAAATTGTGAATTATCAAAAAGTGTGACAAGAAATAAAGATTGTGGCAAAAAAACATGATAGAAAGCATGTAGCCGTGCGAAATTTATGGCAATAAACTGTCATTTCTTGAGACAAATTGTTTGTGATGCAATATGATCTACTGTTTCCAACAATTAATTTTTGTTGCTAAAAATCTAGGGACGAAGGAAAAAATTTGCGATGCCTATATTTGTCATTACTCTAGCTTGTAGGGATGGTGAAAAAGAAAATGTGACATCCACATTCGTTGCGTATTTGTCTTTTTATAAGTAATATTTATCACAACCTATTCTACTATTTTTTATAAATAAATGAATTGGAAAAAAATTCGAACATTTAAAATTCGATCATTATGATTGCATATAGTTTTCGAGTGAATGGCCTTTCTTGATTATTATATGATCCAACATTCTTGCACTGATTTGGTGTGAAGATTTATAGCATCATAGAAATATTGGGGATTTCATAGAATAATGGAAGCTCGTTCGCATCTATAAAAAGAAGGAAGAACACGGCCTGAGTAAATGGCAGGCAAGGTACTTAAACAGCTTTTGGAAAGCTACTCATAACTGTGACACGGCAATTTTTCTCAACATAATGCAGATTGGATTTCATCGTGAACTAAAATCACGGAGGAAAAGAAGATTCTTTTCTGTGTCGAAGAACAAAAAAGTCGTTGACGAAAAAGTTATGGCACTGTTGTGGGGAAATAAATTAAAAACTAGTTTATGATTGCAGTGTAAAATAAATTATTTTATGTGATAAATATATTAAAACCACATTTACGTAATTTTATTCATTGCTATTTAATTAAATAAAAAATGCGGAAAATTGTAGTCTAACTAACAAAATTAGTAGTGGTAATATTATTACCTTTTTATTTTTTCTCTTTTCAATTTTAGATATTTAATCTTTGTGCACAGATTTTTCATTTTTTTTTTTGGTAATTTCTTAATTATGTTTATTTATTTCAAAATAATTTAGTTATATAAGGACAATTAGGTCTTTTGAAAGTTTAGGTTCTACTTCGTAACACTTGCTATTTAAACTCTCATTGCAGCTCTATCATTTTTTATATGACTTTTGAATAAAAATAAGAGGGTTTTAATAAATGCTGCCGAACTTTCATTATTCTATGGAATCCAAAATATTTCTATGATGCTTTCAATTTTTTTTTTTATCAGAATCAATGCTCATAGGAGCTGATGATTTGTTGATCACATGTTTTATTATGTTTTCTTACATTTGCTTTACTAAGGGCCAATTCGATTGTTTTACCGATCTAGTTTACATATCAACAAAGCTCTCACCTTCGTGGTAGGCTACCAATAATTCTTCTTAGTGCCCTTTGATGACCATAAGAGCCTAATTATTTATACAATTATTTTGTAATAATTTATAAAATATTGCTCAGCTTTTCAGAACATGTCCATCAAATGCACATCTAATGCACAGGTGAACGTAGATTGAAAACTAGGAATTCAGATTTTTCAAGCATGTAGGTGATGAAATTATTTATTACTTAATTATTTTAATTTCATTATATTACACT